GTACATGCTAGGCATGGAACCACAGAAGATGATATCATAGCTGACACACAGAGTCACACACACAGCAGATTCGTGTGCACAGATACTAAATTAGTGGACGTCGTCATCTTCTTCCCGCTGATCTCAAATGTACTATGACGTGCTATTTCGCCTGACGACAGTACAACTGGAACACACACGTTACAGGTTAGGTGGGAACGACATGTATGAGGGAAGACGAAGAGACTCAAACAAACACGAACGGAACGACTACCGGTACATTGTGGAAGAGAGAGACAAGAGCACACGAGGGCAGCAAGATGAAGGGCCTGGGTAGCTATGGCAAATATGGACACGCAAGTAGCTACCCAGGACAATGGAACTAAAGGTGACAAAGCAGCCTGAAGGTGAGCACAACGTAGTATGGGATGCATGCAGGCCAGCTTGGAAAGGTTGTACGGGAGGAGGTACCTAACATATGTGTAGAAATTACACAAAGAAAAAAATTAATGTGAAGAGTCAAAAACAGGGTGTAAACCACTAATGTCTTGTCTTTTCAATTGCTTGGCATTGCTCCTCATGATAATGGGAAATAGATCCGTTGTTCTCTTTATTCATTTTCTTCAGACTTCATAACTCACACTTCCTGTGAATCCACACAAGCGGGTGGGACGCAGCCCTCACTGCAACCCACACACTTCACGCAAAAACTAGCTCACTGGGAACCCCAAGTCATAAAATATTCACAGGTTTGAGGGAAATACACAAACGGGAAAAGTCTGAAGAAAAAATTGACTGTCACCACCAGGACTCAAACCAGAGACCCTCACTTGTCGCCAGCGATGCTCTAACCACTGAGCTATTGTATACCCGTCGTCCCAGCAACCACCGTTCAAAATTTTCTTCAGACTTCGTAACTCACACTTCCTTTGAATCTACACAGGCTGGTGGGACACAGCCCTCACTGTAACCCGGGGCCAAGGGACCACTTCTGTTCCAGGCGTACACCATTGACCTGCCCTCTGCCTTTGAAAATGCTACAACCTCATGTAGCCAGTTCGCGGACGACACCGCACTAATTGCCATTGCAGGCAGCTACATTGAGTGTGAGGCGGTGCTACAAACTAGCGTCGATGCCGCAGCAGAATGGCTAGAGCGTTGGCACCTGCTAGTCAGTAAAACGAAAACCGTCATCCTCCCATTCTACCATGCTAACCGACCCCCATCACAACTACCCGAAATAAAACTTGGGCAAACCCTATTAGAAACAGTAACACAACATCGTTACCTCGACATCATCTTTCAGCACGACCTAAGATGGTCAGCCCACCTTGACTTTGTGCTGAAGAAAGCTGTGAAAACTTTTAATATTCTCTTTAGGCTCACATCAACTCTACACACTAAATCACTCTCTCTCATTTACAAAACACATATCCTGCCTATAATTGAATATGCATGCATTGCTGTCACCCCCTCTCAATCGCAGCCCTTGACCGTCTTGAGCGAATCCAGCGCAAGGCGGCCAGAATCTGCCTCTGTCTCCCGCTTTACACTCCTCTGACTCATTCAACACTGCTCCATCGGCTCAAATGGCCGACAATGTTCTCTCGCCGCAAAGTGAAGCTCACCCTTCTTGCCCACTCCATAAAATACCAATATGCCCCACAGCACATACGCATGCTCAACACCCCCGCTCAAGTTACGGCCCAGTACAGCCTTCGACACGCACGCACATGTTACCTCCCACCCTCCAGAACCGATCGCTGTAAAGACTCCCCACTGTACAGGTCCCCAGAATACTACAATGCCCTCCCTGCTAGCATTCGTGACATCTCCTCCCTACCTGCTTCCAAACAAGAAATCTGCTCATTGCTGATTAACTCAATCTGCTCCTGCAGCGCTCACCCTCTCCCATACTTGTAAAATTCAAAGTGATGTAAATCACGCTCCAACTGCTTAACCCACAATCTCACCTTCTCATAAATGTATCTCTTATTGGCGATGGTGCCATCGTGAGAATAAAGAATTCAACCCACACTACACATACAAACTAGCACACGGGGAGCCCCGAGTCATAACATATTCGCTGGTTTGAGGGAAAGACGCAGACGGTAAAAGTCTGAAGACAAATATGACTGTCACCACCAGTGATTTTCATGCTGTTTCTTCGTGTAATTTCTACACATAATTGGAGTGCTGTTTCTCTGAACTTCTTATCTCTGAAGTTGTAGTCCTTAGTTTATTTCCATTATTCACTGTAGTATTTTGAGAAGAAGGGAACTAAAATGTTCAATATTGTAAGCCCAGTTTCTACTGCAAGTCCAGTCTATAATATTTGCCAAGGATCCGGATTGGTTGGAAAATATACGCCCAGGGTTTATAACGGAGATACTGTAGAACTTGTAATTTTGGTGATGATTAATTTCAGCGTTTTCCCATTGTCAACCGGTTAGCGACGTTCTGTTTTAGCGATTTTCAGCGATTTTACTGACGGATCACCAGTGCACTACTAATGTCTCAATGGATTAGCGACTTGAAACTTTAGCGAAATTGAGTCGATCGCTAAATTCGCTAGCGTTTTTACGTCCCTAAAATTACCCGTTCTACAGTTATACGGCCAGAATTTTATCGCTAGAGTTTTTTTCATACTGGAATTTTGTCCCTTTGAGTGTTTTATGGACTCGAGTGGAGAGCCAAGAATAAGTATATGGAAAAGATAAAGACCAAGGAAATGCAAGTTACGCTATATGTCCACTTACACCGCCAGTTACTAAACAGTCAGCTCATGCGATAACATTGCACGGCACTGACCGACGGTACTGACGTTGATTTGCGCGGCCACGCTGGTCGCCAGACCGCAGTGAGTTTATATGCGCCGAACACATGCCAGCCCGTTGTGAGTATTCAATGAAAAGACTATGACTGTAGTGTGCTGCCCCGGGCTGAAACGCAGGTTTGCAAGTAATGCTCATGCTATATAGCTAAACATCTTTTTTTCATTCTTCTGCTAATTTCTTTTCGCGCCATGGCAAATGCTTGGTATATTCTACTGTTACTAGAATCACCTCATTTCCTCTTCCTGATTTTCACATTCTTGACTTCTCTAAAATAAAAGTTTTTTTTCTCAAGTTGCTCCCCTTCCGTTGTTTAAACAATCATGCAGGTCAACAAATAAACAATGCTCACGGCATGTCCTTTTGCGGCTAAGGCCTGTGGAGAATCCATAAGTACAAATACAAATACCATGTTGCTGTACAAAATGCATGCAATCACCACCATGGATTGTGGACACAATATCGGGAATCCTCTTCAAAACTTCCCTCAAAAATTAAAGGACATATTTTGTACATAGACACAGTGTCCACCGGCATTATAATACCACTCCTATGGCCCTGGCTAGTCTGTTTGTATATGCTTTTTGTGACCCGCCTAGCCGGGATCCCGGGTGCCTTAGGGCGGGATCCCGCCTTGCCATGCCAGCCCGCTTAGCATGTAGACGCACAACAGGTTTTGCGTGAATTTTTGTACAAGCCCGACATCTCGGTGGGAGGTGGACTGGCCCGCCTGTCGACCAGCCTGGGATGGAGCTGCGCATATACCGTAAAGTCCGCTGCAAACGCCCACCCCATTTTCGCAAGATCTGCTGGCCTGTACACACTGACCTCATGCACTGTCATCCCTACTGTACGAAAGTGCATCTCACACCGTAGCGCGAAGAGCGCTTTGCTACGATAAACTATGTCCACTTTCCTGGCTTCAAAATCTCGCTGGGCACTAGTTACAAGCTAGCTAGTAACGATGTTATGATGATGGTTGTTAATATTTCGCAAAACCAAACGGGAGTTTCTTCCGCATAACAAGGTAGCGAAGAAAAGAGAATTGCAGGAACCAAAAATACACTTCCAAATCACGCAACGCTCAAAGGCAAGGGTTTTTCTCGAGCACTTTGTACTTCAGAGTTTTAGACAAATTAGCAGCGACTTTGTAGGTGTAGCTTCTGTGACACACCCTGTTCGACTTGCAACCGCAATACCATGAATACTGTGACCAGTCAAGTCGTTGAATGACGCTGTGAAGTGAAATAAAAACCAACCAACCAACGCTGGCGTCAGATCAATCACTGTTCCGTTCTGAAAGTGTGACATCGTGGCACTGCAGAAATTTCATGAAAATCAGATAGTTTCTACCACATTACCACATGAAGAGTGAACTACCACAAAGAAGCCACATTTATCGAATGAAAGGAAATCTCGACAGAAGTTTTTCTTTGCGCAATATAATGACAATCGCTTTTGCAGAGCCTCCTGGTAAGACATAGGCAGTTTTTTCTTCTCTTTTTCCTTTTTTTCAGGGAGCCACTACACACTGTAGTAGAAGCATAAAGATAAACTCTCCAAAAACAAAAAGTAACTCCAAAGCACGAAATAGGCCGAAAACTAAACCAAGAACATGTTATTTAGAAAGACAGGACAAATGAATAATTAGTCAGTCCATTGTTCATTATGGAGCTCCGACGGTTACGTCGGCAACGAGCCTCCGCCAATGCCAAAGCAGCGTGGGCTCCGCAGGAGGGTGCAAATTTCAAACTAAAATATATACGCCTACGCCCGCGGATGCACATGATACATGATTATTTTCAGAAGGCTGAAAGAAATCCTGCATCTAACAAATGCCATAACATGAGAGTAGTGCTCACCCCTCTTCTCAGCCAACAGATGAGCAATGCGTCTATACAGTGCTGTTGACGCTGGACCCATTCCGCCACATAGGCAGTGTGTAGGCATTACAGCCGTGTTCGTACCCATTTGACCTTCGTGCCAGTTTTCTACAACTACATGTATAATTATTGAACTGAAAAAGACGAAAATAGTATGGACCCGCGCGGATGGGCGTTTGCAGCGAAGTGGGCATTTGCAGCAAAGTGGGCGTTTGCAGCGGACTTTACGGTAATCACCCCCTTCGAGTGCTTTGAAAGAAGCAAGATGGACGCGAGAAGTTCGTGTAGCTACACACCTACTTACCGGATTCGAAAGAAACCCCATGATGGCAAACTTCTCAGCAGCTCGAAAAGAGAGTCAGTTCTCGCTGATCCCTGGAAACGTATCAATGCGGCTGATGGCAAACAAAGAAAACACATCGAAATACACCTCAGTCGAACGAACAAATCTTACTCTACTGCTGTACACAACATCTAACCTGACAATATCCACGGACAGAAGAGCAGTAGTTGCAACTACTGAGTGCTCGTCAAAACTGAGACTATAATGATTATGACTTCCAGACTGTGCTTTTAAACCGAGAAGGAATGGCCGGCTATAAAAATTAACATTGTCTGCTGCATTTTTGGTAAAACCAGTTACAGGCACTTGAGAAGAGGGACTTGTACTTGCCACGCTGTGAATGTGTGATGCAGCCATCCCAAATTAGCCCCTTTCACCCCATGGGATCCCTTACTTCACCCCAGTACTAGAAAGTCCTGTTGTTACTGCGGGGACAAGACATCCCAAAAGAGTCCCCTTTCACCCCATGGGATCCCTTACTTCACCCCATGTACTAGAAAGTCCTGTTGTTACTGCGGGGATCCCCGGACAAGACATCCCAAAAAAGTCCCCTTTCACCCCATGGGATCCCTTACTTCACCCCAGTACTAGAAAGTCATGTTGTTAGTGCGGGGACAAGACATCCCAAAAAAGTCTCCGTTCACTCTAGTGGGATCCCTTACTTCACCCCAGTATGTATGTCCTGTACAGAGTAGCTACTAGCTATTGTGGCAGTCATTTTACTCTACTTCCCGTCTCCAAACAAAAAAGTTACTTGCGATGCGTGTACTAATATGGAGTGGTGACGCCATTGTGAACTACTCCCGGGATCCCCACGGTGACTCCGACTCCTCTTGAATTCATCCAACAATCAATACCAACACCTAGTACCTATGACCCCTGTATGGCCGCATTTGGCACCCACCTAAGCCATGAGTAGCGTTTTAAGGTTCATTTCGTGCACGGGAAACACATCGCCGCGCCGGCGGTGACGAAAATTGTGGCCTTGAGTGCAACTCACTATTACCCATATAAAAACCGCTCTGTGAGCGGTTCTGAAAAACCTCTACTGGTGCAGCCCCGTCGTAAAAGTAAGAAATTAGGACTGGTGCATTGTCCTCCCAAATGTGAACTGATCCACCTAAATCGCGATTGACGGGACCCGAACGCACCAGTAGAACGAGGTTCCTACCTGTGGATGCAGCTGGGGACGCTGGTCCATAGCCAAAGCCAAAGGTGGGCTTCGGGGTACTGTAAGTGTTGTATGGTAACTTGATCAGCGACGGCGCCGGTCCATTGCTGTAATCCTGTGCCCTCCCGACCTCGTGCTACTGGTGCGTTCAGGTCCCGTCAATCGCGATTTAGGTGGATCAGTTCACATTTGGGAGGACAATGCACCAGTCCTAATTTCTTACTTTTACGACGGGGCTGCACCAGTAGAGGTTTTTCAGAACCGCTCACAGAGCGGTTTTTATATGGGTAATTTCAGTTCTTTTTCTGTTCCCTCCCCCACCCCGGCCCAGCTCCGAAGATAAACATGGTGAGCATGCGCGCGATGCACTGTATCTAGCCATGCGATTGCAGTAGCACACGGATACATTCCAGCCCTTCCCATCTAGCTACCCCGCACACACATACACACAGTGACACACACACACACACACACACAGTGACACACACACACAGTGACACACACACACAGTGACACACACACACACACGCGGCCCAAACAGGAAAATTCTTGATGAACATTGTATAATGCCATGCAAAGCAGTGGCCACCATACTTCAGGAAGTCAGTTGTGAGACAAAATAAAGGTAAGCTGGCAGCCAAAGCACAACATTGCAAACCGTGATGATATTTGCCTAAGGATTGCAGTTTGCAGACCACACCATGGAAGTTGTTTTCGTGAGATCCTAGTGCCCCGTAGCACAACCCTCGTCACAGACACAAGCTCCTAATTCTCTTGTTGGTTAGAAGGTGTTCTTTATTGATCTGTCCCTGTTCTCGGGAGTTGTGTGATTATAGAAAAAATAGAGTGCAAAGTGAGTCGGACATGTATAGAAAAGTGTTGTATCGTGCTCTTTACAGTGGGTGCCCAATCGGGCAAAGCCCAAACGAAAAGGGTGCCGTGAGTCAGCGCTGAGCAACATTCTCCCCCCCCCCCTGGTTACGAACCGTGGGAGAGTTTATTTATTTTATTTATTTATTCACAATCACGTGGCACTAGCCAATGAAATGGTGATGTGGGCGATAGCCAGCCATGGCGGTAATAGAGCTAGAGGGGAGAAAGAAAAAGAACGAAAGGGGAACTGAAAAGCAGGAGAAGCTAGGGCAGGGGTGGATTTCAACTAGTATGTTGCATTCTGCAGTAGCTGTGTGAATGTATTGTAACATTGGCAGGATTTTAGATGTTGTGGGAGGAGAGACCAATGGCGGTAAGCAAGGAAGAGAGGAGATGTTTGCATAGAGGCATACCGCGCAATAGGGAAGCGGAGAGAGTTTCTGGTGCGCATGTCTTGAGATTGAGCAAACCAGCTTAGGCAGGAGAGAGCATGAAGAGGAGCAATGCCCAGCTTAATTTAATGAATTGTCTGGCATGCCAAAAAACGCACGCGGACCGAGAGCGGCGAAGCAGAAGCAAGGCGGTATAAGTCTGCGCTTGGAGTCAGGCGAGGAAGCCGAAATAATATTTTCAAAAGACGCCTATGCATAACTTCGAGTCGAGCAATCAGTGTTTTAGAAATGCCAGCCCAAATTATGCAGCAGTAATCAAAAATAGGCAGAATGTAAGATGTGTAGATAACATGGCGACAGTCGGTGTGGAGGTGGGTGATGTGTGACGAGAGAAATCCCATTACTGAGCTAACACGGCTGTCTAAATTTTCGATCTGAAATTTCCAGGTTAAGTGTTGGTCAATAATGACGCCAAGATGCTTGTGTTTTTCAACGATGCAGAGCGGGGTTGTGGTGCCTGGAAAGGTGAAGGGACTGGTTACTAATGAAGATAGGTCACAGGAACAACTGGGGGATACACATTACAGCAGTTTTCGAAGAGTTGGGCTGCAATTTCCATTTTTCCATCCAATGAATAACGCCATCTATGTTGGACTGTAACTTGGCACTAGCCTCGGGGAGAGTGGGTGCTGTCACAAGTAGTGCTGTATCATCAGCATATAGTTATGTGTGTTCCATTTCTGCCAGATCGTTTACATACATAAGAAAGAGGAGAGGCCCCAGGATTGATCCCTGAGGAACTCCAGACCGTACATGCCACACATAAACATGCCAAAAAAGAACAGAAGAAAAGCGAAGAAGACTGTATTAAAACCTAGCAACCATCGTGTTATTCGAGTAGAAATAAGGGTGGACGGTCCATGGACGCACAAAACAACAAAAAGGAAAACAAGAAAAAAAGAGAAAAAACAGCGCAGCTAGCTGCAGCTCAAAAGTGCGGGAGGCATGACAGCTCTACGACCGCACGTCCAGTACACAAATTTTCGCGGCTGGTCGGCGAAAAACGCTACCAGATGTAGTCTTTACGTTGACGGCAACATCGGGGGCTGGGTTGACGGCTGAATTGACAGCGAGACATCGCCTGCCTACGTGATTCCTTGATGGCGCTCTTTAAGGATGGCGTGAAGTGCGGTCTTGTTGTTGTTGTTGTAGAAGTTTATTTAACGTCGCACCACAAACAGGCGATTTCGCCTCCTTTGATACATGTGGACGACAGAAGGAATGAGAGAGAGAGAGAGGGGGGGGGACAGAAGTATGGAGAGAGGAAGGGTAGAAATAAATAAGCAATCAACCTCAGGGCTACACCAAAGCAAAAACGGATTGGGAACATACTATATACAAAATAGCTTCATACATATATTGCAAAACACGTTTACTATTCTTCAGTCCGCTATACCACAGAAACACACTAGCCGAAAAGCATTTAAACGGAGCCATGATGCGCTTTTAGCAGGGCACAGAACTGAAGGTGGCTGGGCTCGGAACGGAGATCAGGCGGGAGCTGGTTCCACAGGACTGCGCCGATGAACTGCATGGTCGCTCGACCCGCAGGACCGGGCCAAAATGGTACTCGAACGAGGTGTTGTGCTGCTCCCCGAGTGCGGTCACCAGTAACTCTCACGAAGAAGCTGGTGAAGAGGGAGCTAGCTCGGGAGAACAGACAACGACGGACAAAGATGAGGAGCTTAATGTTACACATGTCCTCCAGGGTGGTCTTGATGGAACCAACGAGCTGCTCCCGGGCTTCGGCCATGTGGGGTGCCGCCGGTGGCTTGCGCTGCCGTGCATCCGAGCGTATCCACAGCAGCACCGTTCTGGAGTCCGTCCATAATACGACCCGTGGAATTGAGATACGCTGCTGCTCCCGGACTGTACAGCATAGCTGCGAGGCGAGGACCGCGGCCTGGAGTTCTAGACCGTATATTGAGGCCGGTTTCAGTGGAGCGACGCGTACCTTCGCAGCGACTAGGGACACTGCCAGCTGAGTGTCGTGGTTCGCTACTCTCAAGTACGCAGCGGCGCCATATGCTTTCTCGCTTGCGTCGGCAAACACATGCAGCTGGATGTCGGTAGCGGCTGTAATCAACGGTGTGTAGCACCGTGGCACTTCTACGGTGGCCACCTGGTCTAGCTCTGCAGCCCAATATGTCCATCGCGGTGCAAGAGATGCAGAGAGTTCATCGTCCCAGCCTATGCCAGCTCTCCACACGTCTTGGAGAAGCACGCGTGCGATGCTGGAGTGGCGGGACACCAGGCCGAGTGGGTCAAAGGCCGACATTGTGTGTCGCAGAACGCTTCGCTTGGTTACTTGTGCATTTGGATCAAGTTTCTTGTCGCAGGAGCCAAGCGTGTCCTTCGCAGGGTCCCATCGTAGGCCCGGGGTTTTCTCGGTGGGGAGGTCATGGCTGTGGACGTTCACGATTCTTGGTGACCTCGGATCTGATGGAAGGCTCTCGAGGACCGTCGTAGAGTTGCTCACCCAGTTACGGATCACAGACCCTCCCCCCTCGTGGACGTCCATCTCCTCACGGGTTAGTGCTACGGCTTCTTCTGTTGTTGGGGTGCTTTCGAAATCCCAGGTGGACAGAACCACGCCTTCGTCGATTTTGTGGCGGTCGGCACTCATTCCGCCATGAACAACCCACCCTAGCTTGGTCTGTGTAGCTACGGGTGTGTTTGGTGGGCCCTCCGCGATCACCCGTGGTGCGATCAAGCTGTAATTGTCTTGTCCGATTAGGAGTCTGGCTTTGGCGCAGGACAACGTTGGTAGATCAAGTCCCTCCAAGTGGGGGCAATTGTTCAGCCGTTGAGGGTTGATTGATTGTGTTGGCAGGTTGAACTTGGCATGAGTGTGGATGTTTGTTAAGGTGAAGCTGTCCTGTCTCTGCCTGCCAGCTACGCTGAATGTTACTACCTTGGAGCTGGACTCCTGGTGCTGCTTGCCATCCGTCCATGACAGCCTCAGGGGCTGCGTTGGTCCTGCAAGTCCAAGTTCCTCCGCCAGTTCGCTTTCAATCAAGGACACTGTTAAGCCTTCGTCCAGGAGTGCGTACGTATCAGCCGCTGTGTCTCCGTTTCGTACCGTGACCGGAATCACCCTCAGCAGCACCCTTCCACTGTGTTCCGACACGTGGGTTGCCGAGGTGTGTGTCGTCTCTGACATGCGTTCTAGCGGTGCTACACTTCCGCGGCCATCGCGGTGTAGTAGAGGATGGTGGGGTTTGCCACACGAGCAGGCCTTCTCCTCGCATACCCTCGCCAGGTGGCCTTCGCCAAGGCAGCGGAAGCACAGCCGTCTGTCACTAACGAACTGCCGACGGGCGTTAAGTGGTTCTGCGGCTAGCTGATGGCAGCTACTTGTGGTGTGCCCAGCTTTGCTGCAGAATAGGCAATGTGGCTTACCAGCGGTGGCCTCCACCACTGTGAACGTTTGGCCTGTGCGTGGAGTGGCATGAGTGGCGTCACATGGGATCGGCTGAGCGACTAGGCATGCAGCCTTGGCCCTCTGTTCAAGCCAGGCAGAGAAGGTGTCCAGGTGCGGGTCTGTGCCGGTTTTAAGTACGTACTCTCCCCACTGGATCCAAAGCCCCCCAGACAGCTTACCAATTAGCTCCTTGACCAATTGAGGGTTGTAGAGATGGCCGGTGCACTTTGTGCTTCGCATGGTGGCAACAAGGTTGCGGCACAGGGCGCTGATTTCAATCAGTACCTCGATGGCCTCCTCCGACTTCACGCCTCTCTGTGATTTCGTCTTCAGAATGAGATTCTGGACAATCTGGTCCGGGCGGCCGAACCTCATCCTCAAGATGGAGATGACCTCCCCTACATTGTCGGGGAGAGTCATCATCCCCTGTACGGCTTCTTTGGCCTTTCCGCGCAGCGCTTTTTGCAGTCGTCCAAGATTCTCCCCGTTCAAGAAGCCGCACTCTCTGGTCGTGTGCTCCAGGGCGAAGATGAATGCTGGCCACTCGTCAGCATGTCCAGACAACTGAGGCAAGTCCTTGGCAGTGGACTGCCTTGCCATGAAATGGTGGGTGGTGAGATTCATGGGGTGTGACTGCCTTGCACTTGCAGGGGTAGGACGTGTGCCATTGGGCTCGTTCCCTGAAGCCCGCTCACCTTGGACTTGGTGGTCCAGTAAGAGATCCTGGATTTGACCATTGGCTTCCTCAAGCGCTGCTCCCATGTTTCTCTCCGCGCGCTCGGCGCGCTGTGCGCGCTCAGCTAGGCTAATGCGATCCGCGCATGTCAGCTCGGATCCGTTGCCGGTCTCCCGTGATCGACGGGACGAACTTGATCGGACGCTGGCATTACTGCTGCCGCTTGACCGGTTTCTGTTCAACTTCTTCTGGAGTTCTAGCTTCTTGCGGATCAGCTTTCGTTCTACTTCTGCAAGTTCCTCCGCGGCGATACGTTCTGCTTCCGCGTCGAGCTCGTCGATCGAGCGGAGCGAGCGCCGGCTGCTGCAAGACGTTGCTGATGAAGTGGTGAGTGAACGAGCCCTCATCGACCTGCTCCCGTTTTGGTACCCTGCGCTGGCTGCCGCAAGGCCTGCATTTTCGCCGATCTGCGCGTCGTTTGTGTACTGGACACGCTTTTGGTGTGCATGAGGCAAAAAAGGAACAGCCAGGGTCACAGAGCGCGTGTGAGTGTCATGCAAATCGGAACCTAAAAAGGACTGGCCAGCGTACGGCTGGTGAGGTGCTAAATCTACAGCAACAATATTACATGATGTGGTGCGTGTACGGGATCATTGTTTGCATGCATTTGTGTGGAGGTGCGTGTGTGCGAAATGCTGCGAATATGAAAACGACCTACTTGTAGAGGGAACATTACAACAGGCCCAACTAACTAATACTTCTGCGAAAACCAGGCTTAGGGTGAAAATCATTTTTTTGAGAAAAATGATGTTTTGTAAAAGGTGTCGCGTGGACGCTCGAGTGCAGTGAAGTGGAACCAAAGAGAATCTCGCTTGTTTGAAGAAGTAGCAGTCATGGCAGGAAGGGTTTCAGCAGTCAGGGAAGTCAAAGAGCTTCCGGTAGAATATTCCCTGCTACTCCTCTAGTCACAACGAAGAGTTTTTGAGCTGATCGAACGGATTCCATCTCCTTCACTCAGGGATGGCGAAATTTTTGCGCTAACTGCTGCTTCTGTCCCCGGGGAAAATTGCAATTCCGCGGCCGCGTTTTTTTGCGATTTTTTAAAAGACCGCGTTTTCCGCGATTTTCCCGCGTTTTTTGAACTTTTTTGTTGCACTACACGTACACACAGTGCACTGTTCGGTCAGCAACGTCTCATCGTGGCGGCTTTTTACTCAAATATGACGAGTGCTTACACCAGAGACTTGTAACTGATTGATTTCACTACATACTCACTGAAAATTGCCGCACATCAATATTATTCACCGCATATTTACCGCATATTTACCGCAAATTCACCGCAAATTATGCCATATTATGCCGCGTTTTTCCCCGCGTTTTTTGCGATTTTTTTCCGCAATTTTCCCCGGGGACAGCTGCTTGCGGAAAATGGTGAAGAAATCGTCTCCAGTTCGAGTCGTGATGGCGATAGCGAGGAGAACCTGGACGACATCGACCCAGCCGACCGAAGTACGGAGATACTAGCTGTTTCTGGACCTCACAAAAAGGGAACACGCGCAGCAGAGCTCATACGTTTGCAGCAAGTTCACGAGGAAAAAGGCTTGAAGCGCAGTGTGAAAACTGTTTTGAATTGAAGTCCTTGGCGATGAAGTGCTACTGAATGCCAAGCGAATGAGCGAGCAGGTCGAGAGGCCTCCACTCGAGACTTTCCTCGCTGGACAGCTAGCTGCAAGGAATTGTACGGCGCGCCGAGATTTCACTTGCTGGTCAGCACCAAGCAGACTCTGCAGCATGCCAGCACATTATGCGCATACTAGGAACAGTGGCACAGTTTGAAAGGCCGTGTTCTTGCTTGTTTTTGAATAGGTGTACTAGATTCACCCTTCAGGTTTTTACCGTACCGTTTCTATGGTTGTAGCCAATGAGCGCCGTTCCCGCGGTGGCCTTGATGAGCCGATAAAGCCCGTGGTCAATGGATACGGAAAAATACGGTAACAATAAAGCCCGTCGTCAATGGCACCCCGTACTCTGTCAGCCTAGCTCTGCAGGGGTCTGTAGCAGTTTTTCGTTGTCAGCTCAGTTCACATCTCACATTCGACTGTGAACATGCTCTGGTACCTGGAAACAGCCTGTCCAAAAACGGCAACATGAAAAGTGTCTACACATCGTGGTCAGTTTCCAACTCAAAACTCTTGTTGTCGTGAGTGGAGATGAAATTTTACGATAGTTGTGAATAAGCGAAAGAGCATGCACCTATCTATCTGCTAAGAAACAAGCTGAAATAAGTGGCAAACATCGCGATCAGTTTTCCACTTTCTGTTCTACAAAAAAAAGAGTTGACGAGTTGCCGAACCTTTCTGATAATTTTGAGGAAGCGAAAGATCATGGACCAAGGATCATCCCATCCATGAGAAGCGGACGGAGCTGAAACTCACAAGCTGAATCCACCACGTCCCCGACCACCACCCCTATACGTGTCTTGCTTTTATACCAGAAAGGCGAAAGACAAAACCTGAAACACCATCATAGAGGTCTGGCAGGACTTTTCGCCTTCATCAAGGCCTCGTGCGTACGGCCGCGGGCGCAGGCCTCGGCGCTACGCGCCTTGGCCTGCGCCCTTGGCCGTACGCACTCGGCCTTGATTCAGCCGTAAAGTCCTGCCAGACCTCTATGATTGTCTACTTCAAAAGGTGCCATCTCAACTATGTAGAGTCGGGTTTCATTGTGGTGTGTAGCGCCAGAACATGCCAGTACATGTATGCAGCCCCAGAATGTGCTGAGTAAGGAGCAAACAAAATTATTATTATTATTATTATTATTATTATTATTTATTCATATTTTGATAGGGCAATCCCCACAGACTCAAGGTCTTCTTACGGGGTACCCTAAGAATGAAAGTAATGCATGGCGAAATAGGGATGGCGATGCAGCAGTGCGGATATCAGATGGAGCACTATTCCATCTGTCTGCAGCCAAATAAGAGAGAGAAAACAGACCGTAGCGTGAACAAACTCGGGGTAAAACAAGACCATTGGAGGAGTGAAGGCGGGTAAAAAAAAATTCATGCAGAACTGTGCATGGCCACTACAGCCTGCAGAACCAAGGGGCCACAACTATCCTGCCCCCACATGCCTACCTTGTCATGTCACCTAAACAAAAATCATCCATGTCTCTTCCTTCACTCTGCTGGATCTCTCTTCATTTCTTTCCTGTGAAAACAAGTAACAGTTAGTTTGTGTTTTTTTGGATTTTTTAACACAATACCCTGGTACGGTGCGTTTGAGATACTTTTAATACCACTATGAGTCGACCCACACATATGTAATATTTTGTTTCCTGACCTCCCATGCCCAGTAGAAGCTGAAAATGGGAAAAGTCATTTTGTGAAATTTCACCCTAAGCCTGGTTTTCGCAGATTCTGGGCCATTTATTAATGGACCGTATGCGTGTTAAAACAAAATGGCGTCACGATTTATTGAAAGTGGTATAGTTGGTGGTACGAGTGCTCAAACCCATTTGAACTTCATACTGTTCGTCTTCTTTTTGACATGCTCTCTTTCCATCGTCCTTAGCTTTTGTTTGTTGAGAGCTGTTTTGTCTTTCTCCTATACCTCTGGGGGATGCCAAGTGATGGTTTTGAGAGGCTGGTGATGGCTGTGAACGAGAGTTTGCCGATCGGCGTCGTCCTCGCTATAGCGATGAAAATACTAGTTACTGCGCACCTGGCAGATATCACAACACGTCGGAGCGTCCAGGAGCAAAGGAATCTTGGGTTTTCACTGGAATCTAGTTCCTCCAGCATCGTGTAGCCCACCGTCGGTGAATGGCGGTCCAGAAAGGTCGAACCTGGTCTTCTGCAGCATCTCGCAGTCCTGCGAGGCACACTGAATACGCCTGTCATGTATTCTACAAATAAAAATCACGAAGTAGTGGACTTTACAGTGACGAGTCTATCCTGTATGCTGCAAAAGACGCAGGAAATGTGACTGGTGTCCGTACACTGGACGCCAATATCATCCCAGTCTTCTCCTGCAGGATCCGTTTGACATTGACATACCGGTATGCAGTGGGTCGACATTGGCCTGGTTTGGCAGCTATCTGCCTGGGTGGATGTAGCAGGTTTGCATTGGCGCGTCGTCCAGTCCGACATTTTCTTGTAACTGTGGAGTACCGGCAGGGTTTGAGAGGTTGCTCGTGCTGTGAACACATCTGTACTGCCTGTCTCGTCCTGGAAGTGCCGTCTCGCCGCTTCCTTGCTCTACAGTCACGCCGTTATTTCGCTTTGTTTCGTGGTGCAGCTCAAAACCTGCCCAAACAACTGTGAGCTCGCAACATGGTATGGACAAATTGCACCACTCATGCTGGTTAACTAAAACCGGGATAGTCGAGTAAGCCGTGGAGTTCACTCCCTGGGCCATGGCAAGATCTGTTCAGCGCGGGCTATTCCAACCTCCAAGTGCATAGTCACCGATCGATCCATGCGATGGTGGTTGACCTACAAAGAGCCAAGGTCTACGAGTACTACTATTGGATGCTGTCTACATGCAGTCAACAAAATCAAAGTACCTCAGTATGCCCCAGAATAGGGCATGTGCATCTATAGCATGACACAACAGGGGTTTGGTGGCACCTGTCAAACAAGCAGTAGTGACTAGTGCCAGCTACCTATTGGAGGCTAGCCGCTACAGTCTGTCACTGGAGATAATTATTATGTTCACTGTTTAGACTGAGCACAATCAATGATGCCCAATCAATCTGCCTAATGTGTGTTCTGTTCCACCTAATTATAACGTCCCATCGCATCAACCCTACTACACGCACATGTCGTCACTCTAGCACGACTTGTGTTATTATTGTTTATTTTGATTCGCACGATAAATAGAGCACAATAAACGTTAACTTGACCGAAGGTTACAGGCGACTGCAGATAGAGGAACACATCGAGGTACAGGCACCGGCGTCAATACAGTATCAGAGAGAAACAAACAAAAATGAGAGGTACGCAAAAAAAACTCTCGTAAGCCCAAGGGGAAGTGGTTGATGAGGGATGAATGCACTCTCCACGCTCATCTACACTGTTCGTGGAAATGCACACATACATACAATAATATACAACATAGCAATAGCATGCACAGAACCGAACAATTTCATGTTCACACATGCAAGCACAGACCTGAGCATTAGTACCAAAAGCCGATACAGACAATATCCCCATACACACAGACGCACACACACACACACACACAAAATGTCCCATGTATGCGCCCGTGGCGAGAAAAGCACGCAAATCTACAAATGCACTGGATGTGAACCCACAGATTTTCTCTTATAGCAACGATAGCGGATCTGATTCTGAATGAAACACACACGCAATACAATCATTGAATGCCCATCCGCAGATGATGGC